CGTTATGTGACGGTGCACCTTATTCTAAAGCGTCATTGGTTTGTTAAACGTACGTTAACTAACAAATCTTTGAAGAACAGTGTGGAAAATAATTTTATCCTGTTTTTGTTAGGAAAGAAGTCAAATCTGGAAGTTAAGTGCAGAATTTGTCAAGTTGTAAAATTAAGAAACGGGCTTTGAAAGTTTTAGAGCTCAAGCCTTTGCTTTTACAAGAGGACATGAAGCGCCATCTTGAGCAAAGTCATAAGAACAAACACAAGTACGAATTTGTACTGTATATCTAATCTAGAACGAAAAGATACCAGGAGATGCTTCGTTTGAAATTTATAGAAAAGTTCTTGTCATGTTAGTTACATTTTGTTATTTTCTAGGAAAGACATATTGTTCCTAAATATTTCTGCTTTTCATTTTTCATCTTAAAATAGCATTATTTTTTGTTGTTGTTCCAGTTAGGGATTTGTCCCTTGTGGGTTTGGATTATTAGAACATGAGAATTTGTGATATGCCTCGTTAATTGGATCGATTGATAAATTTTATTTCATTTTTTATAGTCTGGTAACTTTCATTTTGTATCGCCCCATGTAAGTGAATCCAAGACAGTTTTGGATTCAGGAGGATTCCAGTCTTTGTCAGTGAGACTTGGATTCTGGGTTTCAATCGTTGCAGGAATTCTGGATTCCTTGGGCTGTTTTCCGGATTCCAAAGTCCAAGATTCCGGATTCCACAGGCAAAAATTTCACAGATACCAGAATGCGGGTTCCCTTTCATGGGGCTTTGTACCATGTTGCAATACGGAAATGATTAGGTCTACAGCGTGCCCATTTGCGGGAGAACTGCCTTGTGCCCTTGAGGTTGTCCATAGTGACGTTTTGGTTTCATATGCCCAAATTGACAGAGAATTAGAGAGCTGTACGTTCATGTACTCTATTGGCTTTACCTTCTTAACATCTGCTGCCATTTTGACTATGACCTATTTACTTCCCTATAGGTATACGTACGTAATGATTGTTGGTACTAGGAAAATATCAGGGATTTTGCGAAAAAGCCAGTATGCATTTTTTAAACATTTGTTTTCCTTCTTCTCCAAATAGCTAGCTGATATCAGTTTATACACAACTCGCTTCCTAGTCAAAGTACAAAGCACATTCCCCAGAAGTTTCAATGAACATCCAAACAGCTTAAGTCTGCCTACCTTGATTTGCAATAAGTTCATCGAAGGTTATCCACATTTCATGCAGAACATCTTTCTTTTTTGTGGTGATGATTTACTCCCTTTTTATCGCCATTATTCCTTCTGTACAGTATTTTGTGTCAGCAGCTTTTATTTAAGCGTAAACATCATCGTGTACCAATCCACGGTCACATGTATGCCAAACTTCACGTCCTAAAGTTGAAGGGTTGGCTATCGGACAGAAAAGATTGCGATTATGTTTTCAGGTCATCGACGACGTTCCAGAGAAGAAAGGAATAGATTTGTGAAAGAAGATGTCAAGTAAGTGATCGTTTACATGTATTTTCGAGATTTTTTTGCCCTTAAACCCTTCAGGTACTACGGTTTATGCTCAGTCTGCATTTTACCCCGAGTCTGCAGTCCTCATTCTGCATTTCACACCCAGCCTGCGTTTTACTCTCAGTCTGCAGTCTGCATTTTACCCCTGGTCTGCAGTCTGCAGTCCGCAGTCTGCGTTTTACACTGACCATTTTTTGAATTCCCAAAATGTTCAGACTTCTAACATTTCAGTCGACCTTCAAGCCATAGATAACAGTTTACAAGACCTTAAAAATGCCTCCTACCAGTCAGCATACTCAAAGCAGAAGTGCTCACTTCACACAGAGTTCGAAAAATTCTTGGCATCACTTCCGAATAGTAAAACCATCCTTCCAGCAAGCCCTACAGATATTAATTGCTTCTTGGCCTGGAAAGACCTGCATGGTAAAATGGTAGTCCATAGTGATGGGTGTTCCAACTCCCACCTCCAAAGTACTGCCAAGTGTAAATGTGCTAAATGCTTAGGATGCAGGAATTTAATGGCACCCTCTCTGACTCCTTTGAAAGAGTTAAATTTTCTCTGACTTATACTGAAATGGCCTAACATTGTGAGGAGATTTGTAAGGAGTTCTGAAATACAGATGTTCTTTTCCAATATTAAATAGGATCGAAAATAGTAGGCCAGTAATAATAAATTTTTGTGATATTTGACTTAAAAGACACAACTGTGTTTATGTATAAGGCTGCTATAAATATACCGGTAAATATTTTACTCAGGATGATTTGGGGAAACGTAATGTAAATTGTAAACAAAAATTTTGTTCAGTAAGGATTTTGTAAGCATAATGTTCCCGGGTTGTTGCTCTTTATAGATTTTGAAAAAGCTTCCGATTCCCTTGAATGGCCCTTCATTTTTGATACACTACGTTTTTTTGGCTTTGGACCATCACTTATCAAGTGGGTAAGGACCTTTTATTGCAACATCGAAAGTTGTGTACTTAACAATGGCTGGTCAAGCAACTTCTTCCAGCCTCAAAGAGGAGTTAGGCAAGGCTGTCCCCTTTCCCCATATTTGTTTATTCTTGCTGCGGAGGTCTTGGCCAAGACCGTCTGTAACAATAAGAGCATAAGAGGTTTTTCTCTAGGTAATGACGAAGTTAAGATAAGCCAATACGCTGATGATACCACTCTTATCTTAGACGGTTCAGAGAAATCCCTTACATCAGCAATACAAATTTTAGATGATTTTGGTAAGATCTCCGGCCTTAAGTTAAATGATAGCAAAACGGAAGCTCTTTGGATCGGTTCTAAGATAGGGCATGAACAAATCCTTGTTTCAGGAAAGAAGTTTAAGTGGCCAAAATATAAAGTAAAAACACTTGCTCTGTGGGTGTCAACTGATCCGGACACAGCTTTAGGGTTGAATTACAACGAAAAAACTGAAAACATTAGGAAGCTTTTGAGTTGCTGGAAATACCGTAGGCTCACGTTGTTAGGGAAAATTACTGTCCTCAAATCACTGGCTGCATCACAACTGGTTTACCTGCTCTCCCCTTTACGCTCAAATCATCACGCTATAAAAGAATTAAATGACATGTTTTACCATTTCCTATGGAATGGTAAAGATGACAAATTAAGAGAAAAGTTATGATCAATGAACCTGAATATGGAGGCCTGAAGATGATTGATCTCTGCTATTTCAACAAATCTCTTAAAACAACATGGGTTAAAAAGTACTTGGACACGACTAACCACGGAAAATTGAAATTTCTCTTTGATCTAGAACTGGAGAACTATGGTCGCAATCTCATTTTCCATGGTAATCTCAATGTCTCGGACACTAAGAAAGAGGTTAGAGCAACAGACCCCTTTCTTAAAGAACTATTGGAATATTGGGCAGAAATAAACTTTGTGGATCAAGTAAGCTCTGATATCGCTTTTCAAGAACAGTTTCTGTGGTTCAACTCTTTAATAAGGATAGATAATAAACCAATTTTTTTTAAAGAATGGTTCGAAATAGGTATCTCCAAAGTTCAAGTTCTCCAATCAGGAAACGATAATTTTCTGACTCTCAAAGATTTTGCCGCCAAACATGATTTAAGAGTACGCCCGCTCAGTTTTTTTGGTTTATTATCAGCTGTTAAACAAATTCGCAAAAATGTTACTGATACTGCTGAGACAAGAGACTATACCTTTAAAACGTTAAGTGAAAATATTGTTAAGAGAGAAAAGCCAGGTCCATTAATTTACCAAAAACTGATCAGAGCCAAAAGTTTAACCCCACGTAAAAGCCAACTAAAGTGGTTTCAAGACTGCAACTTTTCAGACAAAGAAGATACATTTAATTGGGAACTCGCCTGTCTTATGGCGCAACGGTGCACAAAAAGCACCAAACTGATAGAGTTCCAATCTAAACTATTACATAGGCGCATACCAACCAATGGGTGATTCCAGAAAATATCCATACCATACCACGGGTGGCATCTTGGAATTCCGAGGGAGAGGGGGGTTTCTTGGACTGGAATTCCGAAGATGTGGGGGGGTAACGCAGTTTGGAATTCCAAAGGCATGGGGGGGGGGGTGTTTCAGCTCTGAATTGAGTGAATTTCCAGAGGAAAGACGGCGAAAGCTCCACTTGAAATCGCTGACCTTTAACATTCCCAGTTTGTAAATGAAGCACGAACCGACCACGGAAGAAGTATGCGTTCATGCATATGGGTAAGCAGATGGGTTGTGCAGCAAGCTCCACATCGAAGAGGCCTTAAAGTTGATGAATTAGTCAACTGATTAATAAAAATATAACCAAGTCGGTGTTTCTCGCCGATTGTCGATCGACAATGTGTTGTTGCATGCTGAAAACTCACACCAGTCTCTCGTTTCCAAATAGAACGCCTGACAGATTTTGTATTTCACGCCGATTTTCACGCCAACATGTAGGTAGTAAAATCCGACAGCGTGCCTTTTGATGCGCTGTTTAATTCACAACTGTTTATGCGCAAGTGTTTTGATCATTCAGTTCTAAATAGTTATTTTTCCTCGAAATAACTATTTATTCCAGGAGCTGATATCCTTAAACAGACGTATATTTGCCAATAGAACTGGAAGAGTCGGGGAGAGGTTTATCTCAAAAAATTATAATAGTTACTTTTCATTCATTTTTTTTTTATTTCCATCATACATTTTACATGATTAAATTATTTGTACATGCATGTTATTTGTAGCGCGACAAAAATATTTGCATAAACCTAAAAACATTTGCTGATCAAATCTAAAACCAGTATTTAGGGAAAAAATGCAGTTCGGTCCTGATTTTGCCTGCATTTCTATGATTTCCATACATTTGTCATCAGGAAAAAAATTGTCAGTTCTGTAAAATCAAAATTACGAATAAAGGGCCGCAAATCCACATGAGGCCAAAAACATCAACAAAGACTGACTCGATCGATTACAAAACTCACTCTACTGTATACTGAAACTGTTTCCAGTTCAAATGTTTGCTGTTATGGTGTATGGTTCACATTCCAACAAATCTCTAAACTCGGCTTTCTGGTTTTGATTTGGTTCACGCAAGCCTGTGAAATGCTGGTCTCGCACACGCAAATATAGGTTAAGTTCTCCAGTTTTTCAATAATAAATGTGAATGTGCTGTCATCAACAAAGGCGTAAGGGATTATTAAATTTGAGAGTTAGCAATTGCAGTGGATAATCTGCGATATTTCCTCTTGGTTAAAAAGGTAGCCTTCTTGGCAATCCAATGTCCTCAGGGATGGAGAGCTTTTTGCTATTGCTAACACGCCACTCCTGCCAAATCCAAAGACATCTTCTGGGGGAACAGTGATATACTGCAGTTTCTTCAAGCCAATTATGTCGGGCAGACACTTCTCGCTTATGCGCGTTTGCGCCAGATGAAGGTCTAATAGCTCACTTTGAGCCTTGAGGATCTTCGATAAAATTTGGTCTGTAATACCGGTTCCTGACAAGGTGAGGTGCTTCAACCTGCTCAGTCCTGCATGCAATATACATGAACCATCCAACCAACGACTGTTAAAGAGGTCAACTGCGATAAGCCTCTTTGAAGCGGTAAACAGGGCGAACAATTGGCAATCTTCACAGCGCAATTTGGTTATTGAAACATTTTCTAGCAGGGACTGGTCGTAGAGAAGATAACTCCACCTTCGAGAAACTGGTCGCAAAATAATACGTTGTGTGAAATGGAGGAAGGAAAATATCCTCAGTAGAATCTCATCAGGCAGTTTATCCATGGTACAGTATTGACCGGGAGTGCTTGAATGAATAATTAAAATAAGAGTCCTGGTATTTATTGTGAAAGGTGCGAGATTACTGCGGAAACAGCGGTATCTGGAACCCCTGGACCTGCAACAAAGTACTTTTCTTGTCAAAACTTCGTAATGTAGTTGTTATATTGTGTTTAAAGCTGCTTTTCCTTGAAATGCATGGTTTGTTTGACAAAGAAAATTTCCCTGGTGAAATGAATCTGAATAACACTCGGAAGTTTTTTTAAATTTTTTGCACCCATGAAAAAATTGCTATTAAGTACTGCATAACCCAATGGATGAAATAAGACAGGCAAAAGAGCGGCATAGAGCTGAATCTGTTTTTATGGCAGGTTTAATTTGTACATTTAGCACCGTTAGGTTGCATGCCCCAAAACTATATGCACTGGACTCGCACGCGGCTTATTGAAATGGTGCTCTTTAGCATGGGAACCTATAGCATAATTACCAGTAATTGATTTCTGACACAAATCACGTAGGTAGATTTTTTTGTGCGAAAAGGTTTACCGCTTAAACCATGTGAATAAATTGCGAAACCCGTCTTTTAACCTTTCAATTCACAAGGCAAGTATGCCGGCTCTTTTTTCACAAATTGGGTCGATTACCGAACTGAATCGAACCAAATCATCAGTCAATTAAGTTCGGTTGGTATTGCCGGGCTTAGGGTATTTTTAGGTTCCACATTTGCGCGGCCTCAGGACGTTATCTAGTTGACATGAAAAAAGGCACGTGTGCACTGCACAAATTTATTTAATCACGTTGAAACAATTCATTACTAAGATATATATATATTCGACTCTTTACCCTCGCTGTCGCCTTCGACTTCGTCAAGTTCCTCAGCTTGCTTTGCACTGACAGGTTTTACGGATCCGGTTTTTTCATTGTGCCTTTGCAATGCTTTTCCTCAAGGCATCCTAGGCGAGTTTAATCTCGGACATGGCATCCTTCAGCTTTCCCTCCGTCTGAGACAACTCTGATCGCACAACATTCCCACCTCTCTCTTTCAAACGCCATTTCAATCCAGAAACTTGCTTGTTTAGTTCGTTTGCCACACGCCTTGCTTCTTGTACACTCTTAATGTTCTTGGAGAGAGTTTTACTCTTTTCCGGCTTGTTTGATGGCATATTCTGGAGCTCGTCTTCAGCTTGGGCTGTTAAAATTTCACATGACTTCATTTGCCACGCCGTGTCAATTATGCCATGGAGTTCTTGTTTCTTATACCCTGCGAACGTCTGGTCAGAACACAGCTCTTGGGCTTTAACATTCCAAAATGTGTAGTATTCTTTGCGGCCAGCACTTGCCCGTTCAATATCCCGCATGGAATAAAGGTGAACTCGTCCTCTGGCCGCATTAAGCAGAACAGCAGGGCGTTCTAATTTGAAAGCGGACTCGATGGTTGTCTGTTTTAACATCTTTCTAGGTCTTTCCTGCTCTTCGTTATCCTCTTTATGCTCGTTTTCCTCCTTGCTACTCGAGGCGTCCTTGTTGCTGCCACCGGCATCACTGGGTTTCTCCCCGTAGCTCTGGAGATGAAGAGAATGCTAGTTGTTGCTTTTGACAAGGCATTTTTTCATAGTAATCAGTTTCTCTTGCTTGGATGCAATGGGGATTTCGGAATTCCCACTGATTGGTTTTAAAAAGTGATAATTTGTTGGAATCAGCTCTTGAACGTCCTCCAAGAGCTTCTCCTTCACATCTACAAGAGTAAGATTCATGTCTTCCTCTTTTGCAAACAGCTGGCAGGCAATTTGGCCGTCAACAACTACATTGATCTCTAGACTCTCTTCCTCCATGTTTCAATCGTTCTGGAAAACCAAAGTCAATGATTTTTAACGAAAGATGGTCGTATGACACCCCTTTTGTTTCTTTATTGTTTTTGAACTTGAGACAGTTATGTGCGTTTTACGTAAATGAGCGGAACTCTTTTTATGTAACATATCAAACACAAAAGACCGCGTGTCTGACCAAAAAAAACCGAGAAGAGAGTTGAAACTACGATACGTAGTGGTTTATTTGTGACAAACTTTGAACTGTTTGGAAATGTGGTCACACTGTCTTGAGTGTTTGATAACTGAGGAGATAGTAAACAGAGAAATAAATCAAATAATGATGCTAATTAAGATCAGATATCCAAACACCATCATGGTAATGATTTTCTAATTATTAATAAGTTTGACAAGTCGAGGTATGACATTGAGTAAAAACTAGTTCCAACTAAATCAATTAATTGAATAGTTTTTACTGTTTATGGTAGTATCGAATTAAAGCATAACAGCTTTACAAACACAAGAGAATTAGACTACAAGTAGTCCCTCTCTCGCTTAGTCCGTCGTGCGAGACGCGAAGAAAAACCGCAAGAAAAAATTCCAGGGGGCGAGAAGCGCCCGAAGTCGGATTTCACGCGGCCATTTTTTTCATGCGTTTTTTTTTTTTGGTCTTGCTCAAGGGACTTGGTGATAGAGGGACTACTCGTGAGTCTACAGAAGAGTTTGCCTATTAAATGTGTTTTAGGACGGCCAAACACATGGGCACCCAACAACCGTTTTCTCTAAAATGCTTATAAACGCTGTTTTTTTTTAAAGCTCTGTGGGTTAATTTTAGGTTGCACAAAAAACAGTTATATCTGTTCGGTTATTCTAGGAGAACTTGAGTATTTCCGAAAGTGACAGCCAATCTTTTTTCGGTACCCAAAACGACATTTTTAAAATCCGAAAACAACAGACATTGCATTTCTCATATCACAAAAGTTCGGAGGGGACAAGAAAATCATAGGGGATTAAAGGCCGTCCAAACAGATAATTTACCGAAATGATCTGTTGGGTGCCCCTAAAAAAATGATATGTGCCGCCTTTAAAGAATGGACATTTAATTTGTTGCCGCATACCGGAAAGGGCGAGTTCTGAGGTAAGTGACAACAAGCGGCCGGTAAATCTTTGAAAACATATTGCTTTTAAGAGGATCTATCAGATATGTAAGGTCGTACATTAATTCTCCGATTGCGAGCGAGCAAATAAACGAGGTTCAACAGCTTCATTTTTGCTACAATCACAAGGAATCGTAAATTTTGTACGACGTTTTCGTAAATGGTATCCGGGATTATAATAAGATTATGTCGACTGGTGTTATGGGAGTGTTGATGAAACCGGAGCTGCTAAATTATTTGCCAATAGACTGTTTGAAAGCCATCTAACAGTGAGCCGCGATCGTGGGAAGACTAGTTCTGTGTTTGCACGTACCCTGAGATCTTTCAAATAGTAACAGTGTCTTTGTTAGTAGGCTAAGAAATGGCGAGAAACAGCGTTAAAGCTATGGCTCTTCCTAATGTGGAAACCACTCTGGTCATACGACCTCCTACATATTCTGTTGTATCGAAATGTACTAAGCTGACCTCGCCAGCTGCTTTGGCAGTAATACCACCTCTGAATGCATGCATGGATGAGCGAAAAACATTATATGGAATGAAAATTGACGAAAGCAAAGATCAGCTCGCTGTTGTTTCTTGGCCGGGATATGAACATTCTCCTGGCAACGAATTCAAGATATTGTTGGAATTCACTATGCGCGGAAAACTAAATTTGAAATTAAAGAGGAGGAAAAGTGGTTTCCTAAGCTTTGCTCAGACCTCTCAGGAAAGCAATACAAGACTCTTCTGGAAGATATACAGAACTTCCAGTCAACGCTTTGGACAAGTGGGAGCGAGGACTGGGTTTATAATGCTGCTCTTAAAGTGGAGACGTTGTGCCAAATTGTCTGTGATAGATGGATTAATGATGACATCATTGACTGCATTTTCAAAATGCTCAATAGTAACTCAAAGGAACACTTGTTTGTTGTTGCCACAGAATCGCTCTTGTATTCAACCAAAACTCAACAAAATCTGAGAGCTGAAATAAATAAGAAAGTACCCGATGGGCTACGATATGTGCACTTTGCGTTGAATGTAAGAAAATCCTCAAATGGAACCGTGTCTGTTGGCAATGGAAATCACTGGACATATTTCGTTTTGAATTCTTCCCTGAGTGAATTATATTATGGCAATTCTTTGGGCTGGAATTTGCCAAATAACCTTGCAACTGCGATGAAACCATTCTTTGAAGTTCTTTGTTCCGTGCATGGGAAGCCGTACACAAAGCCTCGTCGGCTAACATTGATGCACCATGTCAATGATCGTGGCTCACTTCACAATTGTAATGAAAAATGTTTTCAGGGCTTTCCCCTGCAAACCTGCGGGAGTGCTTGTGGACTCTGTCCAATCTTCATGGCGGCTCTCGCCCGAAAAGATGAAAACTCGTGGAAATGCATCCTGGATTGGAACAAACCAGACAAAGTAACGATGGACTCTGTCAGGAAAATTAAACACATTTCGGCTAACTCAAGTTTTCTTAGAGCCGTAATAATTAGCTGGCTAGTTCAGGATGAAGTAACGTCTGGTCAGAACACAGCTCTTGGGCTTTAACATTCCAAAATGTGTAGTATTCTTTGCGGCCAGCACTTGCCCGTTCAATATCCCGCATGGAATAAAGGTGAACTCGTCCTCTGGCCGCATTAAGCAGAACAGCAGGGCGTTCTAATTTGAAAGCGGACTCGATGGTTGTCTGTTTTAACATCTTTCTAGGTCTTTCCTGCTCTTCGTTATCCTCTTTATGCTCGTTTTCCTCCTTGCTACTCGAGGCGTCCTTGTTGCTGCCACCGGCATCACTGGGTTTCTCCCCGTAGCTCTGGAGATGAAGAGAATGCTAGTTGTTGCTTTTGACAAGGCATTTTTTCATAGTAATCAGTTTCTCTTGCTTGGATGCAATGGGGATTTCGGAATTCCCACTGATTGGTTTTAAAAAGTGATAATTTGTTGGAATCAGCTCTTGAACGTCCTCCAAGAGCTTCTCCTTCACATCTACAAGAGTAAGATTCATGTCTTCCTCTTTTGCAAACAGCTGGCAGGCAATTTGGCCGTCAACAACTACATTGATCTCTAGACTCTCTTCCTCCATGTTTCAATCGTTCTGGAAAACCAAAGTCAATGATTTTTAACGAAAGATGGTCGTATGACACCCCTTTTGTTTCTTTATTGTTTTTGAACTTGAGACAGTTATGTGCGTTTTACGTAAATGAGCGGAACTCTTTTTATGTAACATATCAAACACAAAAGACCGCGTGTCTGACCAAAAAAAACCGAGAAGAGAGTTGAAACTACGATACGTAGTGGTTTATTTGTGACAAACTTTGAACTGTTTGGAAATGTGGTCACACTGTCTTGAGTGTTTGATAACTGAGGAGATAGTAAACAGAGAAATAAATCAAATAATGATGCTAATTAAGATCAGATATCCAAACACCATCATGGTAATGATTTTCTAATTATTAATAAGTTTGACAAGTCGAGGTATGACATTGAGTAAAAACTAGTTCCAACTAAATCAATTAATTGAATAGTTTTTACTGTTTATGGTAGTATCGAATTAAAGCATAACAGCTTTACAAACACAAGAGAATTAGACTACAAGTAGTCCCTCTCTCGCTTAGTCCGTCGTGCGAGACGCGAAGAAAAACCGCAAGAAAAAATTCCAGGGGGCGAGAAGCGCCCGAAGTCGGATTTCACGCGGCCGTTTTTTTCATGCGTTTTTTTTTTTTGGTCTTGCTCAAGGGACTTGGTGATAGAGGGACTACTCGTGAGTCTACAGAAGAGTTTGCCTATTAAATGTGTTTTAGGACGGCCAAACACATGGGCACCCAACAACCGTTTTCTCTAAAATGCTTATAAACGCTGTTTTTTTTTAAAGCTCTGTGGGTTAATTTTAGGTTGCACAAAAAACAGTTATATCTGTTCGGTTATTCTAGGAGAACTTGAGTATTTCCGAAAGTGACAGCCAATCTTTTTTCGGTACCCAAAACGACATTTTTAAAATCCGAAAACAACAGACATTGCATTTCTCATATCACAAAAGTTCGGAGGGGACAAGAAAATCATAGGGGATTAAAGGCCGTCCAAACAGATAATTTACCGAAATGATCTGTTGGGTGCCCCTAAAAAAATGATATGTGCCGCCTTTAAAGAATGGACATTTAATTTGTTGCCGCATACCGGAAAGGGCGAGTTCTGAGGTAAGTGACAACAAGCGGCCGGTAAATCTTTGAAAACATATTGCTTTTAAGAGGATCTATCAGATATGTAAGGTCGTACATTAATTCTCCGATTGCGAGCGAGCAAATAAACGAGGTTCAACAGCTTCATTTTTGCTACAATCACAAGGAATCGTAAATTTTGTACGACGTTTTCGTAAATGGTATCCGGGATTATAATAAGATTATGTCGACTGGTGTTATGGGAGTGTTGATGAAACCGGAGCTGCTAAATTATTTGCCAATAGACTGTTTGAAAGCCATCTAACAGTGAGCCGCGATCGTGGGAAGACTAGTTCTGTGTTTGCACGTACCCTGAGATCTTTCAAATAGTAACAGTGTCTTTGTTAGTAGGCTAAGAAATGGCGAGAAACAGCGTTAAAGCTATGGCTCTTCCTAATGTGGAAACCACTCTGGTCATACGACCTCCTACATATTCTGTTGTATCGAAATGTACTAAGCTGACCTCGCCAGCTGCTTTGGCAGTAATACCACCTCTGAATGCATGCATGGATGAGCGAAAAACATTATATGGAATGAAAATTGACGAAAGCAAAGATCAGCTCGCTGTTGTTTCTTGGCCGGGATATGAACATTCTCCTGGCAACGAATTCAAGATATTGTTGGAATTCACTATGCGCGGAAAACTAAATTTGAAATTAAAGAGGAGGAAAAGTGGTTTCCTAAGCTTTGCTCAGACCTCTCAGGAAAGCAATACAAGACTCTTCTGGAAGATATACAGAACTTCCAGTCAACGCTTTGGACAAGTGGGAGCGAGGACTGGGTTTATAATGCTGCTCTTAAAGTGGAGACGTTGTGCCAAATTGTCTGTGATAGATGGATTAATGATGACATCATTGACTGCATTTTCAAAATGCTCAATAGTAACTCAAAGGAACACTTGTTTGTTGTTGCCACAGAATCGCTCTTGTATTCAACCAAAACTCAACAAAATCTGAGAGCTGAAATAAATAAGAAAGTACCCGATGGGCTACGATATGTGCACTTTGCGTTGAATGTAAGAAAATCCTCAAATGGAACCGTGTCTGTTGGCAATGGAAATCACTGGACATATTTCGTTTTGAATTCTTCCCTGAGTGAATTATATTATGGCAATTCTTTGGGCTGGAATTTGCCAAATAACCTTGCAACTGCGATGAAACCATTCTTTGAAGTTCTTTGTTCCGTGCATGGGAAGCCGTACACAAAGCCTCGTCGGCTAACATTGATGCACCATGTCAATGATCGTGGCTCACTTCACAATTGTAATGAAAAATGTTTTCAGGGCTTTCCCCTGGAAACCTGCGGGAGTGCTTGTGGACTCTGTCCAATCTTCATGGCGGCTCTCGCCCGAAAAGATGAAAACTCGTGGAAATGCATCCTGGATTGGAACAAACCAGACAAAGTAACGATGGACTCTGTCAGGAAAATTAAACACATTTCGGCTAACTCAAGTTTTCTTAGAGCCGTAATAATTAGCTGGCTAGTTCAGGATGAAGTGAGCCTCTGTTATTTGGATGAAAAAAATACACCCGCTGAAAAAAAAAGCAAAGCAAAGGATTCACCGGATGACACCAACAACCCTATGAATCGCGCAAGTTCAAGCAACAAGTTTCCAACTGAAAAAAAATCCTACAAAATTTACACGTGCAGAAAAAATGAATTTGGGAAATGACAGCAATCAACCTGCCAAGACCCTGAGATCCGACTCTGTAATCCCTACAAAGGCGCCATCAACTGACAAGAAAATTCCAGCAAAGAACCTGCCCACTGCGGAGAGCCTGTACACTGATACTGAAATTCCTGCAAAAAACTTATCCAACGACGATGAACTTCCTACAGAGAAGTGGCAAACTGAGAGCAAACTTCCTGCAAAGAAGCTGAAAACTGACACAGAACTTCTTGCAAAGGACTTGGAAACTGACACCGAACTTTCTGTAAAGTATCATCCCACTGACAACGAAACTCACGCAACGAACATGCGGACTAACACCGAAATTCCTGTAGAGAACCTGCAAACCGACACCAAACTTCCTGCAAATAACCTGCCCACTGACACTAAAATTCCTACAGACAGCCTTCCTGTCCACAGCAAAAAACCTGCAAAGAACCAGCCTGCGAACAGTAAAGTACCTGAAAATAGTTTGCCTGTGGAAAACGACACTGCTAACTCCCCAACACAAGACTTTTCAGTTTCAGATTCACAATTGCCATTTCCTGACGCATCTAAGGAGTTTTATAGGCATCAGGGTAGAAGCTGGGCAAGGCATGAGGCACGAGATAGGGCCCGTGATGCTACTCCAATAACATCCAACAAGGCTGGATTCACTGTGCTTCGAAGAGGAAATGTAACTGGTTCCTTACATGAAAACATAGAGCACTTGAGCAAACAGCTGAGAATTGGAAAAAACAAGGAAAAACAAGCCATTAAATACGGAGTGATTAAGGTGGCTGCTAATCTTGAAGAATCCATGGTATTGTCCACTCGAGAAGCAGCTTTGCTGTACAATTCTGAAAAAAATAGTTTCTTGGGCATCAAAGACGGTACTAAATCAAGTTACAGAGCCATTGATACTTACCAACTTTTGTCAAATCACTTAAACGTAGCTCAGATGTACATTTGTGGCGTTGCCTATTTGTTTGATGCACATGGCTGAGACTTGAACCAGATAAGCCAAGGAATCTTTTCCTTAATTTCTCGATGTCAGACCAAGGTGAACAATGGGAAAGCTTTGCAAATACTCGCACCTTCCTATCGAATTGTTCAACAGCTTCTTTCAAGTAAACGTGATCGGGACACACTGGACGTCCTTCTCTCCAAAGTCACAAGCAAAAGCACGGTCTTGAAACTCAGAGGTACAAAGTGCAAGAATTCTCTGCTTACTCAAGAGACGAAGTTAAATCACGACATAGTGCATTTTAAAGGTATCGAAAAAGAAGCACTAACAGTCAGGAATGACATGACCACCCAGCAGCAAAACAAGTTTAGCCGTCTGTTACTTAGGAAGCTAAAAATCAAACAATTAAAATCACGTATAGCAGAAGGCAGAGGTCGTAAACTAAAATGCGAAGAGTTTCCTGAGTTACCTGTGCTTCTAGAGTTTGCCTTTGGAGATGGTGATAGGCTCTGACATGGTGGGGGAGGGCTGGAGGCTCACTCAAAACTGTACAATGAGACAATGTACAAGGCTAGTGACAACATGACCGTAATGAGAGAAGCACTGGATCTTGTATGTTCCCTAACACCAGAAGATTTTAAGATCAGTTTATCGTGCCTTTACACTTACACGATGAATTACAAGCAAAGAACGGCTCGAGCGAAGAGGCATCACCATGGAGCTAATGTGAATGCGAAAATATCTTTACATACTGCCCCGTCAACAGGCGAAGTCAAGAAACCCATTAATGCACACTGGACGACTTCATATGTTAATTTTCTGTGTGACGTTGCACATCACAACTCTGACAGCTACCTTCTTGACTCGAGAGACGCCAAATGTACTGTTGTTGGGGATATACTTCCTGTACTGAAACCAGGTCGGTTGTGGAAAAAAGAGATATCCTGATCACACATTTGATCAGTCAAGGAATAATACTGTGACGCCTGTTTCACATCTTTTTGTTGAAGCCAAAATAACAACACCATCTTTGTCCGAAGGGTGTTTCAATGTTCCTAATACCCCTGCTTCAATCCTTGTTACCCGCACTGGACAAGCAATAACAATTGTTAATTTGTCCTTTTACGAACCTGAAACAGCCATTTGAGTATTCAATGACATATTCTTGTCAATGAGTCACAGCGAATTAACACAATTCTTTAGAAATCCTGTTACCAGTCAGTCAAAGGAAGTGTTTGCATTTGTTGTCGACAATGGGCCATCGGAGGCACCTGCAAATTTGCAAGTGCAGATGCTATTGGTTCGGCTTATGAAGTTTCTTAATCTTGACAAAGCCACACAAAGATCTTTTGCAGAGTATCTCAGCAAACGAAATTTGTGGAGAGAGTACATGCTATCGAGAATAGAGCCTTGTCAAAACATGGAGTGTTTGACGCTCACAAAATTCACAAACACGCAGAAACTGGTTCACCTGAACACAAGGAGAACATGGAGGCCATGGCCGAAAATATTGTTGCCAGTTTAAAAGGAGCCACCTTTGGGGGAAAGGCTATTTATCCCATGAGAGGATCAGGAGATTCTCTAGTATTTGATGATGAAACTGAACTGAAGGAATTCGGTCAGCTGTCAGACAAGAGGAAGCATCACTGCCAAACAGAGTATTTCCCACAAAAACCTAATGTCTTCCAGTACCTAGTCAAGAACTGGGCTGTTGATGAAGACTTTTGAGGTAGCTATGCAGAGGACTATCGTACCCTTACAAACGCTCGGACTGCATCTAGAGACCATTATTCAGTTTCCATTTTCCGTGAAGATGAGAACTGGCGAGGAGTACCATTAGATCGCTTTGAAAGGAGACCACTAACAGATCTCATAGCATGGCAGGAGACTGGAAAACTTCATTATTTATCGTTCGAATTACGAACAAATCTACACCAAGGGCCTTGGGACGAACTACCAGAATTGTTCTTGCCATCAAGAGTCCTTGATCTTGCGTTCAAAGTTTTTCGGCAACCAGAACCTGCTCTAATAGGCCTGATAGCCTTTCTGGCTTGGGTGTCCAACCAAGACGCAAAGGAATACTTCCAAGAATGCGAACGATTAGTTCAAGAAACATTAAAAGATGACTTGGCCAAAGAGAAATGGGTTTGCCACAAATTGTTTACTTCACACACAAAGCAAGAGCTCGAGGCTATGTGCATAGCAAAGCGAATCAATTCAGTCGGAAAGAAACATGACTTAGTAGCGCGGTTGGCAGGGGAAATGGATGGAAATGTCAATGTTTGCATATATGATGGAATTTTAAACAATGTGCCTTCGTCAGTAAGTGAGTTAAACAAGCAACCAGTTTGATATCTAAGAGCAGTGATGACATATCACGGAATACTTTCTGTGGGAGTAAAGCAGGAACTGATCATTCGCATTGGTCTTTTAAAATGTGGACAACAACAAGCTGCATTCAGCAGAGAAAGAAAAGGCTTATTAGAGTTGATATCAATGTTGAGAGCACTGTTTGTTGATGAATGTAAGCAAGATAGAAAATGTGCACCGATGAGGAAGCGAACATTTGCCAGCAATGAAACTACGCACATGACGACCAGAGAAGCCGCAACTGCTAGGACACATTGTACAACGTCTCCGCAAAAGGAGAATTCATATGATGTTATTGGAATTCTTGATGACCTGGAAAAGAAAATTCTTGTGGGGGAAAAGGAAATGCAAACGCACGTGAACAAAATAAGCGTTAGCAAAAAGTCCAAGGCTTCAGAGAATTTAGAAAATGGTCCACCTGCAAAACGGGTGAAAACGGCAGATTCTTTATCCATGAGGCCACATTCACAACGACATCGGAAAGTACCACAGAAAATAAAAGAATCATTTAGCAACAAGGAAGGCGACAGCGTTTCAGNGACGAACTACCAGAATTGTTCTTGCCATCAAGAGTCCTTGATCTTGCGTTCAAAGTTTTTCGGCAACCAGAACCTGCTCTAATAGGCCTGATAGCCTTTCTGGCTTGGGTGTCCAACCAAGACGCAAAGGAATACTTCCAAGAATGCGAACGATAAGTTCAAGAAACATTAAAAGATGACTTGGCCAAAGAGAAATGGGTTCGTCACAACTTGTTGACTTCACACACAAAGCAAGAGCTTGAGGCTATGTGCATAGCAAAGCGAATCAATTCAGTCGGAAAGAAACATGACTTAGTAGCGCGGTTGGCAGGGGAAATGGATGGAAATGTCAATGTTTGCATATATGATGGAATTTTAAACAATGTGCCTTCGTCAGTAAGTGAGTTAAACAAGCAACCAGTTTGATATCTAAGAGCAGTGATGACATATCACGGAATACTTTCTGTGGGAGTAAAGCAGGAACTGATCATTCGCATTGGTCTTTTAAAATGTGGACAACAACAAGCTGCATTCAGCAGAGAAAGAAAAGGCTTATTAGAGTTGATATCAATGTTGAGAGCACTGTTTGTTGATGAATGTAAGCAAGATAGAAAATGTGCACCGATGAGGAAGCGAACATTTGCCAGCAATGAAACTACGCACATGACGACCAGAGAAGCCGCAACTGCTAGGACACATTGTACAACGTCTCCGCAAAAGGAGAATTCATATGATGTTATTGGAATTCTTGATGACCTGGAAAAGAAAATTCTTGTGGGGGAAAAGGAAATGCAAACGCACGTGAACAAAATAAGCGTTAGCAAAAAGTCCAAGGCTTCAGAGAATTTAGAAAATGGTCCACCTGCAAAACGGGTGAAAACGGCAGATTCTTTATCCATGAGGCCACATTCACAACGACATCGGAAAGTACCACAGAAAATAAAAGAATCATTTAGCAACAAGGAAGGCGACAGCGTTTCAGTTGGAAGCAAGGTGATGGTCTTATGGACGGAAAAGGAGCTGGATGGAACGATGTTTAGGCCTGGATGGTATGAAGGAGAAATACAGTGGCGCGATGATGACAATGACACAGTAGGGATTCTTTACCGTGAAGATGTAAAAAAAGGGAAGGCAAAAGTATACAAGCTTTGCCTTACACTGGCAATTGCAGATGGCATTTTGCAAATCAAGAGCTAATCAGTACTAAATTATGAGCTTTCCAGGATATTGCACTTGCATTTAAACAGTTGTTTTCCTTATAGAGCGCAGGTATCTAGCCCACTGTGGTGGTGTCTAGCGGAAGGAAGACTTGATTTTCATTAATGTTACAGTCAACAAATGTTTCATTTTACGGCGGTTCTGCACAAATTTCGAAATTTGCTACGTCAGCTCGGTGTCTCTACTGATCATAGTCAAGGAGATTATTTTCACTATTAAGACAATTATTTGAAGTTTTGTGCAAGTACAACATTCGGACTGGATTATGCAATTGCAAGACAAAATTGTATTTATAAATATAAAGGCAAAATACAAACAACTGTTTACCGGTCATGAAAGTACTCACGAGTATGTCTTGTTGTCTTTGAGAAAGTGACAGATTCATTTCTGTCTTGAATTTACAAAATTATGTTTCAAATGCAACGTAAGCATATACACGTGAAACATTGTTTTCGCCCCTAAGGGTTATTGTAGAACTATGGGTTTAAAAATATGTTGTACATGTTGTATCCATTCGGTCCGTTCGTACTCGTTGTGTTTTGCTTGTAAAACGTATGCTGCATAACTAGTGGTCAGCAGTTAATCAATGAGGGAAATTTTAATATGGCGGGTGACGGTATATCGATCGTAAACTTTACTCTTGTCAGCGTCCACTGGTATCAATACAATCTACTCCTGAAAATATGACGGTATTGAATGGAAAACAAAAAGTTCTATTAGGTGGTAAGCAGCTTAAAGATAATGCTTAGAAGGAATAGCTACGGTGTACTAACGTTAACAAACTTGAGTTGCTTGATCGTCTGGCTAAAAATTGTGAACAGAATTCTTTTGCAGAGGGAAAAAGTGCAAGTTTCTCGTTCGTTTGAAGATTTAGGCAGACAAACAGGAATTCCAAAGGGTCTGAAACAAAAGTGGAAAATTCCGGAGGAGAGGGGGGGTTAGCGATTTTGGAATTCGGAGGGCAAGGGGGGGATAAGCATTTTGGAATTTCCAAGGGCAAGGGGGGGTTAAAATACTCATGCCACCCGTGGTAGGGTATGGATATTTTCTGGAATCACCCAATGATTTCTTACTTAAAATAGGACGAAAAGAAAATGACAACTGTACCTTTTGCAACAATTCCTCAGAGATGCTAATTCATCTTTTTTGGTCTTTCCATGTTACATCCTGTTTTTGGAAAGGCGTAACCGACTGGCTTCAAAACGCTCTTCCGTTAATCGGCAAATACAACTTATTGAACATTACCGCACTGGGCTTGAGGCCAGAGCCTCATTCTACAGAATACTCGTGTCAATTACACCATTGTCTCCTGTTAGCGCAGTTTCATATTTGGCAAGCCAAAATGGATGAAATATCGCCTAATTTTGCAAATTTTCTACGCCTAGTTAAGTCAAGATCTATTATAGAGAAAAAAGCAGGGGACACTAAAAAATGGAACTTTCTTACAGATTACTCTTAATACAGCTCTTGATATCGATTGTTTCCTTTCCCTGACGGTCAAATACCAAAAAATATTTTGAAAGATTTGTAAGTCTTGTATTTAACTAGATATATCTGACTGATTGTACACAATCAACATTCGTTTATTGCTCCTGTCTTTTTTAGGTAGTCGAA